CCTCTCAGCGTTCTTGCGCGCTTTGTTGCGCCAGGGAGACACCGTCCTGTTCACTGGACAGCAGCTGTGAGGGTGGCGAAGTACCTAGCGACGACGTCAGGCGTGGGGCTAGTTCTTGGAGGGCAGCAGTCTGTCGTACTTACTGGTCACTGTGACTCCTCTTACGCTGACGACGCTGAGACTCACAGGTCTACTCAGGGGTACTGTTTCAGCCTGGGTTCTGGAGCTGTTTCCTGGCGGTCCACGCGCTCCTCTTCGGTCTCGACCTCTACAGCTGAGGCTGAGATCTACGCTGGTGCCATGGCGGCACAGGAGCTGCGTTGGTTGACCTTCTTGCTCACCGACCTTGGTGAGCGGCCGAGCTCTGCACCGACCTTGTTCACTGACAACAAGGCGTCTATTCTCCTTTGTCGAGAGCCACGACTGGAGAGCAGAGTGAAGCACATTCACGTCAGGTACTTTCTTCTGCGAGAGTTGCAGAGGCGTGGACAGGCTCGCTTTGAGTTTGTGGAGTCCGAGGCCAACACTGCAGACATCTTCACCAAGGCGCTTCCGCCTTGTGACCACCAGAGGTGCTGTGTGCAGTTAGGCCTTGTTGACACTGGTTCTCGTGTTGCTTAGACTTGAGTGTACTGTTTACTTTGCTTTCTATATACCTCTGTTACTTCTTGGACTGGCCTTGTAGCCACTGTTGTTTGTGCTCAGATTGTGTGGTGACGTTGTGATCCACCCTGAGCTTCGTTTCTTGGACTGGTCTTGTGACCGTACTCGTTTGGTTCTGCTAGACACCCTTCACTTAGGCTATGGGGGTGTGTCAAATGTTGTAGCCTATAGTGAGGTTTGTCTTAGGGGGTACAAAACTTAGGGTTAGCTATATGTACCCCAACCAACATCAATGCATCATCCATTCTTCATTCTGACACATATACTTTAAGCTCTATAAATTTTTCTACGTTTGAAATTGTAGCATTCATATTAATTGGTCTTGTCTGATTAGGCCTGCGGGTACAGTCTGCACAAGAGATGTGTGTGGAGGATAAACGGTAAATTGCTGATGTGGCGATTCCATCTGAACAACACACCAACCAGCGTGTCACTATTGGCGCGGAAGTACGTTTTCGTGGTCACTTGTCCTCTTGGTTCGATGGGAGTGCAGTTGGGGTGCTTTGATGGGAGGGCTTGATGGTGTTTTAAATGTGTGTGCTATTGGGGTTTTCTTGGGGTTGTGTGTGCTGCTTTTTCTTCCTTCTTCCCTGTTTTTCTTCCTCCTATCATTTTTCCCCTATTCCCCTCCTTCTTTCTTCCTCTCTCCTTTTTTCTACTCACGTTATTCCTCCTTTTCTCCTCTCTTCCCGTTTCCACTCCTTTTCCTTGCGTAATTATGCTACATTGTAATATTTTAATTTTCTATGTTAGCTCGTTAATATGGTAGGTGCTGTCACTTTTAAACCGATAAGGTTTTGAAAAAAAAAAGTGTTCAGGGAAGCTTCGAACGTTTCGGTACAGTACCGTGGCGATGGTTCCTTTGCCGACATTCATCCTCGATACATCCCCCCTTTCCCGCATTTAGTCCCCCAACTTGAACCATCAAAAGCCAAAGCGCCTCAGATCGACGGGTGGATATGAACGAAGTCTACTGTACATGTACTGACAAGTCGACCCAGCGCTCCGGATGAACAGCAGCAACAAATCACTGTACATGTGTTTCAGTACGGTACTGTAGGGCAACACTTGCCTGCTTACGCAAGGCCCACCACCACATCGTCACACACGCGATTCGTGAAATAAGGTCGTATCCCAGCCTCCGGTAAGAAGTTGAGGTCTTGACACCAACTCATTCTAGGCATGTGATTGGTTTAAACAAAATCTAGAATGCCTGCGATTGGCCGCACGAAGTTTTTGGACCAATCGTATGCCTAGAATGAGTTGGTGTCAAGACCTCAACTTCTTGACACCAACCCAGGGATACGACCTAAGCAGCGCCAACCAAACCCACTGACACGCGGTTGGAATCCGCCGTGGAAAGGCGAAACCCCCGCCACTCAAAACATTTCGAAAGTACAAATTTTGGAACACAGAAAGTTTTACGTTGACAGCATGGTGTGAACTACCAGTACATTTCTCAGCCAAGCCTAAACGCGGGTCTCTATTTCAGGTTTTTTGAAACATGGGTTATACGCCATAAAAATTGTTTCTGACCGGCATCAGGTGGTGGTGACCACCACACCCCACAGAATTGCTGCAATCCGCCACTTAGGGTTTCGAATTGCAGTGCTTCAATCCAAGCACTTGTCTCCTCCATACTCAAGAGTGCTGCAAGGTTGCTCAGAGTCTCCTCGCAGAGCAGGGACACAAACACGCGCGAAATAGAGCGGCGGTCCCAGCAGCACACCCAAGGACGTCTAGACACATTGCCCATCGCCCGTTTGCTTGGTCGTTTGTATAAAACACATTGGCTTAGAACCGCTGAACTCTAATGTCATAATTTCGGACTTCAATTTTCGGACGACCCAAACTCATCAACAAGCTTCAGTTGGACGACCCTGGAGATCGACCACCACCATACGCCCCCATCACCAACGAACATCCCGCCTCCATCCCGACACCGCCCCCCGCCCAGCCTGCCCATCGATCTCCATATGTAAGCTTGAAGCCGTTATTGCTTCAGAATTTCTTCATCTCTACCTCCGAGTTCTGACTCTTCTGTGTTTATATCTTCGCAGGTAAAAACACTTCGTCGTCCTCAAGTCCGAAGACGAATCTGCAATCGTGGTTCTGCTGCTCTGAAGCCACTGTGAACGAGCCCAACATCTGCTCTCCACTTTAAGCTGTGGTCTGACGTGGTCAGACGCTTCATCTCGACGACCCTGGAGATCGCCCATCGCCATCGCCACCATCGCCACCATCGCCAATCAGCAACTCGCTCCATCCCGACACCGCCTCCCGCCCAGCCCGCCCTTCGATCTCCAGAGGTAAAGATGAAGTTGCTATGTCTACTTATTTTTGGTTTCACGCATCGAATGTCCTTGTTTTTTGTTTGAATACTTTTGTTCTTCGATTTCTGACTCTTGTTTGTTTGTGCCTTTCCAGGTACAAAAAGCAAATGTCTTCCTCAAGTCCTGCTGCTCCATTTTCAAGCCATCATGGCTTCAAGTGCTGCAACCAAACAAGACGTTTCGCGGCTCTTCAATCTCAAGCCGTGCGTGGCGGACATCCTGCCGTCTGCTCATCACGCTGTGCTGCTCTTCATCTTCAAATCGTGGCCTGACGCGATTTGATGCTTCACAAGGACGACCCTGGAGATCTTCCGCTACCATCCGCCCCCATCGCCGACCATCAAACCGCCATCCATCCATTCACCGCCCCCCGCCCAGCCCGCCTATCGATCTCCAGAGGTAAGCTAAAAAATTTTGTGTTGCATTCTTCTTCATTCTTGTTAAGCATTTGGTCTTGAATGTCTTTTGAGTTTCTCCATGTATACTTATGATTTCTAAATCTTTTGTGTTTGCATCTTTGCAGGTACAAAACACTGCAGTCCTATGACGAATCTTCAATGACGAACTTCTGCTCTCTACGTCAACTGAACAAGCCGCACCGCTGCTGCCTGTGGCGGAACAACTGAATCGTGCTGCTGCCGTTTGAAGATGTGCAATCGAGCTGCTGAAGAACCGCGCTGCAGCAACTGAAGAAACCGCGCTGCTGCTCCTCAATTTCAAGCCCTGCGTGGCGGAATGACGTGCTGCTGCCATTCTGATCGTGGCGTGACTCGCTGGACGTGGTGCTGTCGCGCTTCATCACGCTGCCAAGATTTTCAGGAGAGTGTTGCTTCCCTTTAACCTCTTTTTTTGTTCCATCGCTTTTCTTCGTTTTCGTTTTCGCCATCATCGCCCGTTCGTTAATCGCTCGTTCTCCACCGTCCCGCTGGTTCACATGGCTGTAGCTGCAGATGATCCTCCGCGGGTGGGTAGATTAGCGTGTGGGTTTTGGGTAGATCAGATCTCCTCCCTCTGTGCCTGCAGCCTGTGAACCATGGACGTCCGCCTGTTTTGTTATCTTCGTCGTTCGTTTTCGTTCTCGATTTCGTTCTTTTTTTTGCATTTGTTTTGCCTTTGTTTTTCCTTCTTCCCATTGCTGCATACTAACTTCGAGCATCCGTTTGTGCCTTCTTTTGCTTTTCAGGCATACGAAATGGCCAACAAATCTGCAGAAGCAGCGAAGGCTGGCGGAGTTTGAAGGACTTGACGCGGCGGCTGGCGGGTGGAACGCGCTGGAGGTGCTGCACGATCACCCCTCTGCCGCCGTTCTGCCCGCTGACTTCAGGGGAGTATTGCTTCCCTGACCCGCTGCCTTTTTTGTCGCTTTTTCAATTTCGTCGCTTGTATTGATTTCCATCACCATTTTATCACCATTTCACCATCATCGCCCGTTCGTTAATCCCTCGTTCTCCACCGTCCCGCTGGTTCACATGGCTGTAGCTGCAGATGATCCTCCGCGGGCGGGTAGATTAGCTTGTGGGTTTGGGTAGATTAGCGTCTCCTCCCTCTGTGCCTGCAGCCTGTGAACCACGGATGTCCGCCTGTTGCGTTATCTTCGTCGTTGGTTTTCACATTCATTTTCGCTTTCGCACTTGTTTTTCCTTTGATTTTCCTTTTGTTTTGCTGTTTACTAACTTCGAGCTTTTGTGTGTGTTTTCTGCACCCGCCCTTCAGCAACAACAGATCACGTTGCTTGAGAGCGGAGGCGGACATTCAACGAGCGCGGATCTGAAGCGGATCTGAGGCACAAATTTCTACACGCGGAACTTCTTGGTAAGTTTCATGTCTTCTGCTTCATCTTGCTGCTAACGGTTTTGCATCAGTTTCCTTAAGTTTTGGATTTTAATCGGATTATATATACTGATGAGTGCCTGTCTTTTTTTCTTAAACAGGAGCAATCAGCAACAAAAGGCGGAGTAGCCTACAAAGGATCAGCGACAATGGCGGAACTGCAACCAAGAATGAATGATCTTCAACCAAGGACCCAAGGATCTACGACCAAGGACCCAAGGATCTACGACCAAGGACCCAAGGATCTACGACCAAGGAACTTTCTTGTAAGTTTTAAGTCCGTTAACCGTTTTCTGTTTCATCTTGCTGCTAACGGTTTGCATCAGTTTTCTTAAGTTTCGGATTTTTCTATTATATATACTAATGAGTGCCTGTCCTTTTCTCTTAAACAGGAGCAACCAGCAAACGAACGGCGGAGTAGCCTACAAAGGAGCAGCGGAGATGGCGGATCTGCAACCAAGAATGAACTTTCTTCAACCAAGGATCAAGGATCTACAACCAAGGACCCAAGGATCGACGACCAAGGAACTTGGTTGTAAGTTTTAAGTCCGTTAATCGTTTTCTGTTTGCTGCTAACAATTTGCGTCAGTTTTCTTAAGTTTCGGATTTTGTGTTATATATACTAATGAGTGCCTGTCCTTTTCTCTTAAACAGGAGCAACCAGCAAACGAACGGCGGAGTAGCCTACAAAGGATCAGCGACAATGGCGGAACTGCAACCAAGAATATATGATCTTCAACCAAGGACCCGAGGACCTACGACCAAGGGCCCAAGGATCTACGACCAAGGAACTTTCTTGTAAGTTTCAAGTCCGTTAATCGTTTTCTGTTTCATCTAGCTGCTAACGGTTTGCATCAGTTTTCTTAAGTCTCGGAATTATACTAATGAAAGCCTGCCCTTTTCTCTTAAACAGGAGCAAATGGCAAAGGAATTGCAGAATGGACTACAAAGGAGCAGCGAAAATGGCGGACCTGCAACCAAGGATCAAGGATTTACGACCAAGTAACTTTTTTGTAAGTTCACCGTTTTCTGTTTTATCTTGCTGATGACGGTTTGCATCAGTTTTCTTAAGTTTCGGTTCTTTTGGATGATATATACTTATGAGTGTCTGTTGTTTTTATCTTAAACAGGAGCAAATGGCAAAGGAACAGCAGAGCAGTCTACAAGGCAGCAGTGGAGCACTTCACAAGGCAGTAGCGGAACAGTCTACACAGCACCAGCAGAGCAGTCTACACGGCACCAGCGGAGCAGTCTACACGGCACCAGCGGAGCAGTCTACACGGCACCAGCGGACCAGACTACAAGGCACAGCGGCGGACCAGTCTACACGGCACCAGCGGACCAGACTACAAGGCACCAGCGGCGGACCAGACTACACGGCACCAGCGGCGGACCAGACTACAAGGCGCAGCGGCGGACCAGAATACAAGGCACCAGCGGCGGACCAGTCTACACGGCACCAGCGGAGCAGACTACAAGGCACCAGCGGCGGACCAGTCTACACGGCACCAGCGGACCAGACTACAAGGCACCAGCGGCGGACCAGTCTACACGGCACCAGCGGCGGACCAGTTTACACGGCACCAGCGGCGGACCAGACTACAAGGCACAGCGGCGGACCAGTCTACACGGCACCAGCGGCGGACCAGTCTACACGGCACCAGCAGACCAGGCTACAGGGAAGCTGCGTAGCGGACTACAGGGAAGCTGCGTAGTCAGAGGCCGGGCTGCAAGGAGGCAGCGCTGCAAGGAGTGGACGGAGGAGGAAGCTGCGGAAGCGGTTGCTGCGGAAGCGGATGCTAGGCTGGAGAGATGTGGCGAAACAAAGGTGGTTGTGGCGAAGGGTTACGCGGAAAGTGGCTGGATGGGAGCTCAAGGGTGGCCTAAGAGGTGGCTGAGTGTAGCGAGCTCAGCCGGTCCTAAGGCGAGTGGCGCGGTGGGGGTGTGATCTCGGCAGTGACGTGATGGAGTAAGGGCCGGTGCTTGGTTCTGGCAGTGCAAAGTCGCCCGGGAGGCTTTGCACTGCCTGGGCCCAGAATCAAGCAAATCCGGGCACCTGACACTCCAGGTAGCGTCATTGTTGAGGTTACACTCGCACCACAAAGTCAGCACCGCACCGGGGTGGGTGCGGGGGACTTGAGTCACTGTAAAGAGAAGGGAGACCGCACTGGCGTGGGTGCGGAGAGCTTCTCTACCTCTGAACGATGAGTCCACACTGGCGTGCGTGTGGAAATACTCGTTCTAGGTCACCTGAGGGTTCCTGTTTAGGAGGCTGCGGTTTAACTAAAAGCCTCGGGGCTTTCTCACACTGGGGTGGGTGTGGGGGGTTCCGCCACTGGAAGCGTCAGCCTGGAGTCACAGGGAGAGGGGTGGAGCAGTGGAGGGAGCAGCCGCATGATGCAGCAGCCGCCTGATGCAGTTGAGGGGAGAAGCCGCCTGGTGCAGACAAGGGGAGAAGCCGCTTGGTGCAGACAAGGGGAGAAGCCGCCTGGTGCAGACAAGGGGAGAAGATCCCCTAAACCCTGAAGGGAGAAGCCGCCTGGAGAAGTTAAGGGGAGAATCCGCCTGATGCAGTTAAGGGGAGAAGGAGCCGCCTTGTCTAGAGAATGGGAGGTAGAAACCCCGAAACCTTGAAGCGGGGAATCAGCAGCTTGGTGCAGAGAAACGGGTGCAGAGGAGAAGGGGAGCAGCCGCCTGGTGCAGAGGAGAAGGGGAGCAGCCGCCTGGTGCAGAGGAGAAGCAGTGAAGGGGAAGCAGCATTGAAGGGGAAGCAACAGGGAAGGGGAAGCAGCAGGGAAGGGGAAGCAGCAGTGAAGGGGAAGCAGCCGTCTGTTCTAGAGAAGTTGAGAGGAACCCATAAACTGCCTCCTGGTGCAGTTAAGGGGAGAAGCAGCCGCCTAGTGCAGTTAAGGGGAGAAGCAGCCGCCTAGTGCAGTTAAGGGGAGAAGCAGCCGCCTAGTGCTTTTAAGGGGAGAAGCAGCCGCCTAGTGCAGTCAAGGGGAGAAGCAGCCGCCTAGTGCAGTTAAGGGGAGAAGCAGCCGCCTAGTGCAGTTAAGGGGAGAAGCAGCCTCCTAGTGCAGTTAAGGGGAGAAGCAGCCGCCTAGTGCAGTTAAGGGGAGAAGCATCCGTCTGGTCTAGAGAAGGGGAGAGGAACCCCTAATCCTTGAAGGGGACAAGCAGCAGCTTGGTGAAAGGGGAAAAGCAGAAACAGCCGCCTGGTGCAGAGGAGGGGTGAAGCAGTGTAGCAGTGAAGGTGTGCAGTGGAGGGGAGAAGCACCCTAAAGGAGTTTTTTTAGCCGAGTGGTACGGCAGTACCCTAATTGTCAGGGTCTCAGCCCGTAGGCACCCCACCCAACGGGATGCTGATGGGACGGATTTTTTATCCTCCATGGCTTGTGCACAAGCCTACCACCTAGAAAGAAAGAAAGAAAGAAAGAAAAAAGGCGTAGGGAAGCAGTGAAGCAGTGAAGGGGTGTAGCAGTGAAGGGGTGTAGCAGTGGAGCAGTGACGCAGTGTAGCAGTGAAGCAGTGAAGCAGTGTAGCAGTGAAGCAGTGTAGCAGTGTAGCAGTGAAGCAGTGAAGCAGTGTAGCAGTGAAGGGGTGTAGCAGTGTAGCAGTGAAGGGGTGTAGCAGTGTAGCAGTGGGGGTGTAGCAGTGGAGCAGTGAAGCAGTGTAGCAGTGAAGGGGTGTTGTAGTGTTGCAGTAAAGTAGTGTAGCAGTGAAGAGGTGTAGCAGTGTAGCAGTGTAGCAGTGAAGCAGTGTAGCAGTGAAGAGGTGTAGCAGTGTAGCAGTGTAGCAGTGGAGCAGTGGAGGTGTAGCAGTGGGGGTGTAGCAGTGTAGCAGTGAAGCAATGTATCAGTGTAGCAGTGGGGGTGTAGCAGTGGAGCAGCAGTGGAGCAGTGAAGCAGTGTAGCAGTGAAGAGGTGTAGCAGTGAAGCAGTGTAGCAGTGTAGCAGTGTAGCAGTGGAGGTGTAGCAGTGGGGGTGTAGCAGTGTAGCAGTGAAGCAATGTATCAGTGTAGCAGTGGGGGTGTAGCAGTGCAGCAGTGAAGCAGTGTAGCAGTGAAGCAGTGTAGCAGTGAAGCAGTGTTGCAGTGAAGGGGTGTAGCAGTGTAGCAGTTAAGGAGTGTAGGAGTGTAGCAGTGAAGCAGTGTAGCAATGAAGCATTGTAGCAGTGTAGCAGTGTAGCAGTGTAGCAGTGAAGCAGTGAAGGGGTGTAGCAGTGTAGCAGTGGAGGTGTAGCAGTGGGGGGTGTAGCAGTGGAGCAGTGAGGCAGTGTAGCAGTGAAGCAATGTATCATTGTAGCAGTGGGGGTGTAGCAGTGCAGCAGTGAAGCAGTGTAGCAGTGAAGGGGTGTAGCAGTGTAGCATTGTAGCAATGAAGCAGTGTAGCAGTGTAGCAGTGTAGCAGTGAAGCAGTGAAGGGGTGTAGCAGTGTAGCAGTGGGGGTGTAGCAGTGGAGCAGTGAAGCAGTGTAGCAGTGAAGGGGTGTAGCAGTGTAGCAGTGGAGCAGTGTAGCAGTAAAGGGGTGTAGCAGTGTAGCAGTGTAGCAATGAAGCAGTGTAGCAGTGTAGCAGTGAAGCAGTGAAGGGGTGTAGCAGTGTAGCAGTGAAGGGGTGAAGGGGTGTAGCAGTGTAGCAGTGAAGCAGTGAAGGGGTGTAGCAGTGAAGGGGTGTAGCAGTGAAGCAGTGTAGCAGTGAAGGGGTGTAGCAGTGAAGGGGTGTAGCAGTGAAGGGGTGTAGCAGTGAAGGGGTGTAGCAGTGAAGGGGTGTAGCAGTGAAGGGGTGTAGCAGTGAAGGGGTGTAGCAGTGAAGGGGTGTAGCAGTGAAGGGGTGTAGCAGTGAAGGGGTGTAGCAGTGAAGGGGTGTAGCAGTGAAGGGGTGTAGCAGTGAAGCAGTGCAGCAGTGAAGGGGTGTAGCAGTGAAGCAGTGCAGCAGTATAGATGTGGGGACGCAGTGAGGGGTGAAGGGGTGAAACAGTAAAGAAGTGAAGCATTGTAGCAGCGACAGTGTACCGGTGAATCTTTTGTGGTATAGGGCGAGAGGAAATAGTCGTGACTTGACAGAGCAGATAAACAAGGGTGGCAGAGCTGAGAAGAATAAGACTAGAAGCGGACTAAAGAATAAGACTAGGAGCCGACTGAAGAAGAAGGGGAGTAGAAGGGGGGCAGAGAAGAAGTGGAGTAGAGGAGAAGGGGAGCTGAGAAGTGGGAGCAAAGAAGGGGAACGTGGAGCAGAAATGAGGCAGAATGGGGAGTAAGGGGGTACAGAAAAAGGGGAGTAGAGAAGAGGAGTGGAGCAGTGAGTAATGGAGGAAAGGTGGATGCATGGATGTGACACGGAAGCAAGGTGGATGCATGGATGTGACACGGAAGCTACAGTGCTGGGGAGGAAGGGTGGTTTTTTGGAGAAATGAGGAGCACTTACATTGGAGGGCAGATGTTGAAGCTGATGTGTACCTCCATGTTTTGCTTTATGCATTCAGCTTGTTACTGGTCTCGTCGTACCAATATTCGATTATTGTTCCAGATTAATAAATGCATCTGAATTTGCATAATATTCTGAAGATATAGCTTTAGCTTGAGCGCATCCCAAAATCGCAGACATCTTACGGTACGATTTTACACGACCCCTGATAGCATTGAACTTCCTCCTCTGGATCGGGATGTACGGGACTATGAGTGTAGGCTGCTCTGATTTTACACCACCCCTGATAGCATTGAACTATCCATTGTTGCTCTTTGTGAGATGTAGATTCGACTGTTGGAAACAATAAGTCGTAATCGCCTCTGTCGTGTCGAATCACCGCACCAGAAGCGAAGTAAGCCATATCGAAGCACCAGCGAGTCAACCCTCGGAGGTTGAGAGGTTGCTGGAGGTTACGCGAAAGTCAAAGGTCAGCAACCTTTGACCCGACAAGTACAATGAGACAGCAAGGACACACAACTGACTCGCTACAGAGCAGTTGCCCGAGTCGTCACTGTATCGAACCGCAACAGCAAACAGCAAAAGTAGTTACAACTATATCCTTTCTTCCTTGTAATCTTATTTATATTCTTGTATCTCGTTGTTTTAATTAACTTACTTTGCCCTCACATACCAGTGCAAGGTGGTTCACAAATACTTCACTAATACGCTTCCGCTATTACATAGTTCCTACCAGAGTTTACCCCTGCAAAGATCCTAAGGGCTTTTCTCAGCCCAACATGGTATCAGAGCTAACGGGGGAAATTCCACTTCATCAAATACATTTCAAGACATGGCAACACAGAAGGATAGGAGCTCATCTAACGGCTCCCCTAGCACTAGTCCTACCCCACCTCCTGCCTCTGGCCTGCAGACAGAGGAAGGCACGGCAACAAGACCCAGAGCAACGTCAACCGAGACGCCTGCGAACCAACCTGCCAGCTTCGACCAGAGTATGATGGAGAAGTTCTTCTCCTTCATGTCCTTCTACGAGCAACATCAGCAGTCGGTACCTGCACAGTCAAACAACAGCAACAACAACCATGAGGCGACTCCAATGAGTCTCGACGGCTCATCATATGCGCGCGGAAACCAGCAGCAACCCACCTTTGCTCCGTACGAACGCGGGTCCATCAGCTTCATGCCGCACCCGCAAGCTCCACCTAGACAAGAAAGGCCACTGGACGCACTGCAAGTCCAGTCGCAATTCGCGCACGTCTTGAAACTGCAGACGTCAAGGCCCTTCGACGGA